AAGGAGCTGCACATCCGGTGATCGTATACATAGATCACAAGAATTTGGAGTATTATATGTCGGCTCGAGTTCTAAATCGATGTCAAGCTCGATGGAGTATGTTGCTATCTAAGTTTGATTTTATTATCACTTATCGACCTGGAAAGCAGCGAGGATTATATGATGCCTTATCGAGGAGATCGTATCTTGTACCAAAGGTTGGAGAAGCAGCGTTTGATCAACAATGTACGACATTGTTGAAGCTAGTGTAATTTTAGCTTTGCGCTACTATTATGCCAATTGATGTTGACTTCCTGAATCAGGTACGTGCCGTAACCATTGAAGATTTAGTAGTCATTGATATTAAGCAGTGTGCCAATGACGACAAGTTCAAGGTGGAGGGAGATCTTTTATACTTTGAAGAGCGGTTATATATCCCAAAAGGACCAGCACGACTCCGAGTTCTTCAATCTCGCCACGATTTTCTAACTGCGGAACATTTTGGATTCAAGAAGACCTTGGAGCTTATTTCTCAAGATTTTTGGTGGCCCCAAAGGTGGAAGGATGTGAAAGATTTTGTCCTCTCCTGCGACATTTGTTTAAGATCCAAGAATCCTCGGCATCACCCTTATGGACCCCTACAGCCATTGCCGATTCCACGTCGACCATGGTCTTCAATTTCCATGGACTTCATCACGGACCTGCCATCATCGAACTCATTTGACAGCATCTTTGTCATGGTAGATCGGCTTACAAAAATGGCACACTTTGTCCCTTGCAAGAAGACATTGTCTAGTAAAGTCACAGCAAGGCTCTTTCTTGATAATGTGTATCGATATCATAGACTACCAGATGATATCGTATCAGATCGAGGAACCCAGTTCGTATCAAAGTTTTGGAGATCTCTCTTTGAGATACTGAAGGTGGATATCAAGCTTTCTTCGGCTTTTCATCCTCAAATTGACGGCCAAACGGAACGGGTGAACTAAGTCTTAGAACAATACTTACGATGCAGCATCAACTATCAGCAAGACGATTGGACCACATATCTGTCGCTAGCCGTGTTTGCATATAACAACACCCTCCATGCGTCGACTCAATACACACCATTCTTTTCCAACTATGGATATCATCTGAAGCTTGATTTATTGAGTCCATCAACAAATAACAATCCAACAACTGAAGGATTTGCGAAACAACTATCAGAGCTTCAAAATACGTTGAAGCTTCAATTACAATCCGCTCAAGAATCCTACAAGGCGTCTGCAGATAGATTTCGAAATCAAACACCTACTTTCAAAATTGGAGATAAAGCATGGCTTCTTCGACAGAATATCAAGACCAAGCGATCATGTGATAAGTTGGACTATCGAAGATTGGGACCATTTATCATCCAAAAGCAAATCAATCCAGTGGCGTATCGTTTGGAATTACCGGCTTCTATGAAAGTACATCTAGTCTTTCATGTTTCTTTGTTGGAGCCTTATCGAGAGTCATCTTTTCTTGGAAGAGTGCAATGTCCGCCACCTAGTATTGAGATCGAGAACCACGAGGAATACGAGGTTGAAAAGGTGCTGGATTCTTGGCGAAGGTGGGGCAAGTTGGAGTATCTTGTTCATTGGTGCAGCTACGACATTAATGAGCGAACGTGGGAGCCAACTGAAAATCTCACCAATGCGCCGCAAAAGGTACAGGAGTTTCATCAACAATATCCTCATAAACCTAAGCCGATTCAACAATAGCTTCTTTCTGAAGCTTGCTCACCCAAGAATATAAGAAAGGGAGAGAACACCACCAAAATTCGTAGTTGATGTAGTTATTTTCTCCAAGATAAAATAGAATTTTTTCAGTAGCCATAGTTTGGTCTTCTGATATGGATAGCTAAGAGATAGATACTATGCCAATCAAATTATCTCAACCAACTAGTTCACGAAGGCGACCCCGAAATGAAGAACCACCTACACCACGATGACGACGGAGGATACCAAGTAACTAATCACTGGTGATTGTATTTGAGTCCGAGCCTGCTTACAATGGTCAGCTAGAAGGCATATTTGCAGGACAATTTCACAATGAAGACACAGAAGTTCATGCTTGGTCAGAAGTTGAAGGAGTGGGCCACTACCATTGGCTTCAAGGGCCATTGAACTACTTACCTCGTGAACAACAGTTGGAGTTCATAGCAGACGTTATGCGACAAATCTTCATTTTCTTGCGTTGGTACTGATTGACAACAATATTGCTTCTCAGAGACCTCGAAGCTAAAGGAGGGGGTGATGTTAGGGACATAGTCCTTAGAACCTTCTAGAGACAAGTTTCTAGAACCTTCTAGAAGCTTCTTAGTTGGTAGAAGATGTTAGGGACATAGTCCTTAGAACCTTCTAGAGATAAGTTTCTAGAACCTTTTAGAAGCAAGTCTCTGGAACCTTCTAGAAGCTTCCTAGTTAGTAGAAGTTGCTTGAGAAGCTTCCTAAATAGGAGTATATATTAGAATTGAGGCTGAAGAGTTCTTCAGTCTTGACAACACATCTTTTGGAGCTCTAGCTCATCTCTCTGGTGTTGTTCTTGTATTCATCTGATTAATCTAGTTCTTGCCAGTTCTTCTTGAACTTCTTGGTAGATATCAAGTCTGTATTCTGTGTCCGTGACATTCTATTAGAGTTGTTAGGACTTGTTGTTGAAAATTTCTTTTACCTTCTACAGCCAAGTGTCTAGTGCATTCTCAAGCAAGACTTTACATAATATGATGTTGCTCAAGAGATAAAAGAAGAAAATGAGAGTTACTCCAAGATAGGAAGTAGAGGTCAACAATGCGTTGTATGATACAATTACAATGGCTAATGAAGATAAAGAACTTAATGCTATGATGTTATCAAAGTGATTTGAGGATTTTGCATCATTTGTTGTATCAATTTTAATTTCCTAGTTCCAAAGTTGCAATCCCTCCTTCCTTTGTAGATCTTGAAGTATAAAATATTTGCTCAAAAAGTGCTTTGACTATTTTTTGAAAGTCCTTGGATGCATCCACAATTATAGAAGACATTATTATAATCTCTAGCAATGTCAAAGATAAGACTAAGTGGGAAGGGCATGTAGGGTGGATTTATGGGTGTTTGATGGAAGATGCTGTCATAAGATATTGAATGTGTAGTTGTAGTTGACAATCAATTAATTGTATTATAAAGTATGATGAATTTCACGAAACTTCACCAATTAATTTAATTGATTGATTACACCAAACTAGTATATTTTTTCTAGCATTTCTTCAAAGAAAATCTATTTGTGATCTCTCGATTGTGGTCAAAATTTTGTAAGTCTTTAAGACATTTACCTTTGGATGTTTTTTGTTATATCTATTAGTACATTTACTTCAATAATCAAATAGACTGCATCTTATAGAAGATGGAAGTGGAACCATCTATGTGATGTTAAAAAATTATTATTTTTTATGTCATAGCTCACTATATTATGAAACTTGCAAGTACTACAATGGGTAATAAGATTCCTTAAAATTTTTTTCTTCAACAAGAATCTTCTTTTTGAAAGCCCATAATTAAAACTATTACAATGCATTGCATATTTGAATGTTGGTATCTATTCCTTCACATCAACCTTCTTCTTCTATTTCTATTTTCTTCTAGGTCTTTCTCTCTTCTTTGGCTAGTTTATTGTGTACCAGCTCAACATCATCTACTTCATCTACATCCTCACTATTACTATTATCTTAAGTATATTTGTTCTTCTTAAGGTCAACTTATTTTGGCATCATATTGGAGAAATGGTGGCAAAACAAGCACGTATGGGTGATCATTAGTACAAGCGCTCACTTAATTGCCATCTTTTAGGATAATGTCATTAGCAACAACCATTTTTAAAATATAATTATATATATGATAAAAATATTTATTTTTTTATAATATAAATATATATTTTATTTTGTATTTTATTATTATTATTATTCTTTTCTTTTTATCATTATTTAGATGTGTTGAATGAAAAAAATTGAAGAATTTTTGAAATATTAAATTATATATAAATTTTTGTGTAGTATATATATATATATATATATATATATATATATGTAATAGAAGGAAAAAACTTTAAAAAATAAAAAATAAAAAATACAATCACAATAAGAACATTTTATTAAGAATGCCAATTAATATCTTATGTTAGAGTCATCCTTCAAGTATATTTCATACAAGTTTTATGTGGAACTCTATTAATATATTTTAGCTATGAAAATATTTCTTATATGTTCAATCAATGTTTTCTTATTTCAAAGATATCTAAGATAAAAAAAAACCCAAATAATAAAATAAACAAAAAATTATATAGATAAGTAGACAATGATGAATCCTTGATCCAAAATTGGAATAGACTTTAGACAATGATAGACACTAAACATGTGAAAATTATATTAACAAATCCTTAATTTCTCTACTAAAGCATTATTATATACATTAGTTATGATACTAATTCTTGAAAACTTACAATTGAGTAGTAGAGATAATTCTTCTTAGATTGCCCAATTGCCCAATTGTTTAGGTCTTAGATCCTAGAATGCCTTGTATTTAATCCTTACTAATCAATGTATCTAGTATACCTTGACTTAAAAGTGAAAAAGGAAAAATTAAAAAAGAAAAAAGAAAAAAGCATAAAAAGACTTGTGTGTGTCTGTTTTGTTTTTGTTTTTTTGTTTTTACAAGGAATCCATTCTTCCTTCTTCCTTCTTCCGTATATATCAGAAACTAATGGATATATACATTCATACATGCGCACACTCAGATAGCAGATTTGACTAATGGAGAGGTGCATGAAGGGGTTTGAATCTTCGGCAATCCGTGGCTTTTTCAGTAGAAAATTAGCACGTCCCTTATCCCAGCAACGATCACAACTGCAACCGACACAATTGAGCTTGTATACGTAGACGCACGAGCCCAGGCACACAACGACACAGACGGTGCAGGACATCCATGGCTTTAGAAAGAAGAGCACAAACAGATCAGCAGATCACGGCGAATGGTGTCCAAGCTGGACGAAGCCCTGGCCAGCACTCATAACGCACCCAGCTCTCGTCGTCTCCTACTGGCCGACGATACTCGTCCAGCTCCACCGCTTTTTTAACAGTCCCGTGTTGGCTGACGAATCTCTGCTGCACTGGAGTAGCTGAAAACAACTACCACCACCAGCTCAAGGGCTAAAGTAGTTTTGTCTCCTCCTGGAGTTAATGGGTTTTCTCGGAATGGAACCTCACAGGCGGAATGCGAGCCTCGGGTGCAACACGGGAGGTGGTAGAGAAAAGCTTGACGCACTCTGGAATTAGAGGGATCTTTTTCGCTCTTATTCCAGCATCGGTAAGTTTAAACAGCCAGTTGGCCGTCCGAGCTCGCCTGCCAAATTCGGCCGCCGAGGAGCACATTTCTCACTGGTTTTTGGAGAGGGTTCATGCTGACTTTGATTCCATAGATTCGCAACGATGAGTGGGGGGAGTTTCGGATTTAGGGCAACGTTCATGGCCTCGGAGTGTGGTGCTGAGCTCTCTGAGCAAGTAATCTCACTTTTGCGGACTTGTGATGAGTTGGTTCTGTAAAAGATATCCAAAAGACCTGTCACTTCTTATTCAGAGATAGTCTGTAAGCTTTTGAACAAAGGCTTATATACAACTTTTGTGAAACAAAGTAGTGGTCATTACTGTTCAGTGGTGATATAATTGGCCATTCATCCTTGTACGATTGTTCATTAGTTGGGGTTGATTCACAGAGTTCTTTTTCTTTTTCCTTTCACGAATGACTGTATTAGAGTCGGAAAGGGTAGTTTGCTGATTTCTAACACTTCTTCTCGAACGCATTCTCACCTCTGTACAGGATGTCTTGAACAACGGGATTGACTGTTAAATCCTTGCAGGACCTTTGTCAATGTGTAGAGCATCTTACTGCTGTAATTTCCTAACCCTAAAATTTTTGTTCCTTCATTTGAGTTGACTGGATGAAACAAGCTACGATTACTTAGCCTTTGCTTTTGATTGTTGCAATGGGAGGCTATGTTATTTGGTATTTGATATCTTGCAAGCACTGTTTGGAGAGTGTGTGATGTTGTCCTCTATTGCTTGAGGGCTCTTCTTGATGCTTCGTTCGAACCCGGCGCTAATATTTCTAATGATGAAACCGATTTTAGGGCGACTACAGCTCACTGCATATCCGAGTCGTTGGGATTTGCTTACGAGCACTCAAGAATCTTGTGACTATTTTGAGGACGTCGATTTTTGGGTTATTCTCTTATCAATCCAAGCAGCCAGAGAGATTAAGCAGCAATGAATGGTTCATAGAGGATGATGTGTGGAACTAGTGCCATTGGTCAAATGATAGTTGTTGAGGTAAATTTGAAAGACTGGATTTCTCACGAGTTTGATGCAGCACTAATTATCACTTTTCAGTGTTGTTGGCGATGTTTGATGAAATTTCAGTAGTCTCCGCAAGTGGACTATATCACGGGCAGCTTCAATGCGCATGTGGTATTCTATCTTAGTCGTAGAAAGAGCTATAGTGGTTTGACTCACTTCGGTACTTAGTGTTTAAAATCATACTTATTGTATTTAAAATCACAGATTTTGTTAGTTAGTAGTAGAATTTTTAGGAGGATTAGAGAATACATTGCCAATAGCAGACGTACAACCCAGGATAAAGTTTAGTAAGAAAAATTCTACAAAAAATATGTTATTTACTTAGCTAATGTTAGATGAAAGATAAAAAAGTAGCCTTTGTATCAAAAGGAAAAGAAAAGTTTATTCATTAATACTCTCTCTCTCTCTCTCTATATATATATATATATATATATATAATAGATAAACATTAAGTAAAAATTAGAAGCAAGGTCAAAGAAGTAAAATACATACATACATACATACATACATATATAGCAGGAGGAAGATAAAGAAAAAGAAAAGATGAAGAAGAAAAGTAAAGAAAGAGGAGGAATAGAAGAGAAGAAGAAAGGAAAAGAAAGAACAAGCAAAAGAAAAAGAGAGGAAACAAAAAGAAAAAACGAAGAAGATGGGGAGAGGATGGTTTGTGGTATTAGACTTCAGCGACATGCGAGTAACTGATTTTATATTGCGGCTGAAAGTCGTGAAAGTGCGGTGTTGTTGCCATTGTTATTTTTACCTATGGTACTACGACTCTTTCACGTTGGTGGTAGTATCGGCTGTATACAATTCTTATTCCATTCTTGGATGTCGCTCCATTCCTTTAGTGTAGTTATCATTCTTGGTTTGTTCTTCTTCTCCCTCGTTTGAAGCTGGCATGCAACGGCTTTGTTCTGCAGCAATTCTTGATTTCGTTGCATCTGGCTTTCAACTACGTTGACGTCAACTTCGGTGGAACCGTCAAAATTTAGTTGGTTCCTCCTTGGCTTGATCCCTCGTCGACAAACCTTCTTGATGTTGCTGTAGCCCAAACGAAGCCAACTAAGAGCGCATTGAAGGGTGGAGAACTGTTGTGACATCCTTCCTTGCATGGTTCTTGAGAGGTTTCAACAACGGAGGTGCTAGGTGATAGGGCTTGTATTATAGGTTGTGGTGGTGGATGCAGAGTTGCTTAGATTCCGGACTTGTCTAGAATCAATAGAAAAACCCAATGCCCCTACCATCCAACTAAAATCAAGTGTATCAATGCTTATTAGTTGTAGCTAAAGTGTTTGTGAATATTGTGATTGTTCAAATTCCCATATGTGATTAGTTCCTGTTGCCCAATTAGTCCACATTAATTAATTGGAGAAACGATCAAAATTGTAGTAGTGGAATTGGAGCTCTGGGTGGTTCGTGTACCCTCTGCGTGCTACAAGTCAAGACAAGTGACAGTTGATATATATATATATATATAAATATATATATTTTTGTTGTTGATCCACTTCCATTGCCGGAGTTTGAATTCGAGACATTCCTATTCTCGCCATCCTAGTGGATCATTGGAATTACAAGCAAGTTCAACAGAGTTAGCATATGGCCCATCGACGGTGAATTCGACGTTCTTGCTTACGAAGCATCGTTACATTGAAAGCACCAAGCAAGGGAACGTGGGACGGTTCTATCTCAAGAATTCGGACGTAGATCGAGCTCAAACTTTCAGCACGGTAAGGTCTGGATGGTGAGATCAGAATGCTAAGAAAAAATTGAGGCTGTCGACTCGGGATTGCAAGCAAGTCGAGCTACACGGCTGGAGGGGAAGTCCTTGCTTGGCGAAAAGTAATCCAGGGAGGAGGAATACATTGCTCTACAGTTCAACTCTTGGCTTCTACGCTGAATTAGATTGGCAGTCATACCTCTCCGAAGCCATCACACGGCAAGGTGATAAAAATTTGCCATAGAAAATTAGGCTTAGAAGGAAGAAGTTAGGATTTAAAAAATAATAAAAAATAATAAAAAAATAAAGATTTGGATGAATATTGATCACGGATGAGTTGTTAAGTATGGATGAATTTTGGAGATGATTTATTATTCAAGTATGAAATGTCATTTGTGGATGAGTTGTTATTTAGGGTTGAAAGTTGTTAATGGATGAATTTTAATTAAATAGAAATTAACATAAGATAAAATAATAATAATAATAATAATTATAAAATAAATAAATAAAAATAAGATAAAAATCCCTCTGCAATTGCTCGACTAGGTGGTTGATTCGTTTATGATTGTCACATGTTACGATTAAGTCGTCTACATAAATGAGGATTACTGTGTACCATCCATTGACAATGGAAAAATACAAGTTCAAGTTAGAAGTTTCTTTTTTCAGAGAGATTTTTTGTAAGATAGTTATCGATTTGGCTGTTCCAAGCATGCGGTGCTTGGCGTAGGCCATATAGAACCCTTTCTAATTTTGCAACTTTGCCTTCGAGGTGTGATTTCCAAAACCCATCCGAAATGGTTATGTAGACCTCTTCTTCAATTGTGCCATTTAGAAAGGCCGTCTTCACGTCATATTGATGTAGTGTCTACCTCTTTCACGCGACAAGGGTGATGGTAGTGCGTATGATGCTCCAACGGACCGTGGGAGCAAATGTCTTGTAGAAGTTGACTCCCTCTCTTTGTTCAAAGCCGCGCGTAAATAGCTGCGTCTTGTGCTTGTTGATTTGCCCTTATGCGTCGCGTTATGTTTTGAAAAGTCATTTCGCTGAAATTAGCTTCTTGCCTTCCGGAAGCTTAGTTACTTTCCATGTTGCATTCTTTTAGCTGGCATCGATCTTTTCTTGAATCGCAACTCCCCAGTCCGCACTATAAACAGCTTTGGTATAGGTTATAGGGTCCTCAATGACGTTGAGTTCAACAGAGAGGACCAGGTGATCTTTTAGTTGAATGGAAGGTCAACACTCTCGCGTGGAGTAGCATTTTTCTAGAATGGAGTCTTGATCAGATTAATGGGATGAGAAGCTCTTTTGTTGGTCTGTTGCTGTGGTCTGAGGGGTGCTTGGCCGTTGATGTGAATTTTTGGTGGGCAAGTCATGATCATGTCGACTAGCTTCAATGTCGTCAATGAAAGCAATTGTCTCGGCATGGTCCATGGTGGTCGCGACTACAAGTCCATCACTGGATTGAGTTGCTGCAAAAGAAGAGTGGTGTTCAGAGGTCGGTGATCATAATGTAAGTTGGTGGTAGCCAACGCAGCTCTCGTCAAATACAACGTCCTGCGAGACAAGTATTTTCTTGCGCTCAGGTTTGTAAAGTCTATATGCCTTAGTACACTTATCATATCCCACAAGTAGGCATGCTTGGGTTTTACTGTGGAGCTTGTCTCTCTCTTCTTTAGGTACTAACACATAACATATGCCTCTGAAGATGCGGAAGTGATCGATTCATGGTTTGTGTTTCATGTATAATTGCTCCAAGGTGATGCCTTAATTTTCATTTTTGGGGCCATGATTTATGAGGTAGTTGGATATATTCATGGCTTCCACCTGGAGGAAGCTCGGGATGCTGCCTTCAAACACCATGCTCCTTGTCTTTTCCACTAAGCTTTGATTCCGTCGCTCTACTCTCTTGTTCTGCTGCAAAGTGCAAGGTTGCATGAATTGTCATCGTATGCCATAATGATCACAGTAAGTGTTGAATTCCGTTGAGAGGAATTCCCCTCCCCTATCAGTTCTGAGTACTTACAATTTTTTGCCTGTTTCAATTTCTATTTTGCTTCTGAATTTTTTGAATGTGTCAAATACTTGACTTTGGCTGTCAAAAAATACATCCAGTTTTTTCTTGAATAGTCATTGGTGAATATCACAACAAATGTGGATGCGCTTAAGGAGGGTTTTGGGAGTGGACCTGTGACATTGGAATGTACTAGCTCTAATATTTGTTTTGCCCATGAACACTTGGTAGGGAAGCTCTTTCTTCTTTAACATCCAGCTAGGCACTCATGACAAACAATCCTGATCAAATCTATTTCTGGTAATTTGTTCACTCTCCTTTTGACATATTTCCCATGACTACAAGTGTACTTACCAACATGAGGTTACATTTCAGAGACGGAATATAGAGAACATCGTTTAGTTTTATTTTCCCTTCGTTTGTGTACAGATGGCGATCTCCTACTCCTTCGATTCTATGATTCTTTCCACCTATATTGATGACAATATTTCTCTTACTGCTCAGATTCTTAACTGTGTTCAAGCTATTCCTAGATCCAGTGACTTGTCGTGTGTCGCCAAAATCCAGGTACATGTATTTATTTTTATCCAAGGAGTCTTGTAGTTCGGTGAGGGCAACTTCCAGCACTTCCTCTTTGTTATTACTTTCAGAGTTTTCACATGTTTGTTGTGACTTTCGACAGAGTTTGCAGATTAGACGCGGGGTTCCTTTAAGCCTTGGCAGTTGCAGCAATCCCGAGCAGAGTACCCTTCCTTACCACACACATAGCAGATATGCTTAGCTCGGTGTTTGGGTTCGAAGTACTTACCACTGTTGGATGATCTTCCTCTTTATTGAAATCCATGTAGTGGTTGACTTTGGTTGTACTCAAGCGAGCCCCTTCCTCTATTCGAAGTGATTCTGGCTCCCTTGCAAAAATGGACTGATAGAGCCTCCTCATCTTGTAGATGTTGGTTGCGGTATTTTGGTCGGTGATGCTCAGTCAGGAGGATCACACTCATCATGTCGAAGGTTGAAAATGTTGCACCATGAGTAATGGTCAGGATGATGTATTCATATGCCCTGGATAATTCATTTAATATCGCTTGCATTAGAGTTTGATCAGGCAACTATTTGCCAAGGATGGCCATGCGGTTTTTGAGTTCTCTTGCCTTGTTCAAGTATTCATCCATTTCACCTCCTTCGGGCAGCTTCATCTGACTAAGTTGATTCGTAGTAAGTAGAATCATGGAGGAGTTGCCGATTTGGTAGAGCGCTCTCAACGTCACCCAAGCTGCAGTGGGATCCTTATGTTCAGCAACTGTATCAATTAGATAGTCTTTGAATGACATCGTGATGGCTCTACAGGCGGTGTTTTTCAAGTCATTTAGTTGCTATTCAGTTACATGACGACCACTATGTAGGAATACAAGGAAGGCAACGGGGGAGATCGTATTTTCTACTACCTCCCATAAGTTTTCACTCTGGAAGATTACTGGCATTTTCAATTTCCACACGAGGTAATTGTTGAGTCCTTTTAGTTTGTTAGTCTCCCCTATTAATAAGTCCCTCCTCTGTACCATGTTCCCTTACAGAATGACTAAGTTTCCTCACGGAACGGCTATTACTGCTACTGAACTTATCATAAGACCTCCTCGCAGTTCTCTCTCTAGTGGCTACACCTACATTTGAACAATCCTATAGAAGACGAGAACGAACTTGCTTGCTTGGCCTCCCATCAAGGCTCAGGTTCACTCCAATATCATATAGAAGATATCTAAAAGACCTTTCACTTCTTATTTAGAGATAATCTGTAAGCTTCCAAACAGAGCCTTATATACAACATTTGTGAAACAAACTTAGTGGTCATTAGTGTTTAGTAGTGGTATGGTTGGCCATTCATCCTTCTACGACTCTTCATTAGTTGAGGTTGACCGACAGAGTTCTCTTTCTTTTTCCTTTCCCAAATGTTTATATTAGAGTCATTGATTTGTATCAGGGTAGTTCATTGATTTGTAACAGGTTCCTGTAACATGTGTCAAGTTCATTATGATAGGTGTCGCAATGCTTCGAGTTCGTAGTTTGTACTTGATCATGCTTGTGCTGTACTTTGGTAACGATTCGATTAGTGATGCTTATTAGTTATATTTGCAACTCATCGAAAGTTGTCCAATCTTTACAAGTACTTTGATTCTTGTAGATCACTGGTTGTCAAAGCATTGTGACCTATCCGTGTTCGTGGGAACAAAACTGCCCGTCGAAACCCATGCAGCCTCTCCTTGTAGACTAGTCCATGAAGAGCACTGTAATATCACTATCTCACAGATATATATATATATATATATATACACAGAAACACACCTATATACGGTTTTGTTGAAGAAACTTAAATTTAAACATGAATTTTATTAAGCTGATCCACTACCGCAAATCTTCTCGTTCCACGATCCACTTGTGGAAAACGATGACAACGAGTTACCCAAAACCAGATGATCTCGCCATCTTCTTTCCTCTCTCACGCCGCTGTTGAAAAAATCCTTCAATCACACAGGGAATCACTGGCACAAGCGAGTTTACTTGATCCAGTATCATTTTCCTCGTCTTTTTTGGGACCCCAGCATGCCGATCACTGGGGAGTGGGAATAGTATTGACGACGACGAACGAACTTTACAACGACGACGAGAAAACGAGATGAAGATGAACGGAAGTTACGACGACGACGAGAAAACGAGATGAAGATGAACGGAAGTTACGACGACGACGAGAAAACGAGATGAAGATGAACGAAAGTTACGTCGACGACGACGAGAAAACGAGATGAAGATGAACGAAAGTTACGTCGACGACGACGAGAAAACGAGATGAAGATGAACGAAAGTTACGTCGACGACGACGAGAAAACGAGATGAAGATGAACGAAAGTTACGTCGACGACGACGACTGAACTGCAGCTTAGCATTGGGATGGTATGAAATTTAGTGCAATGTTGGGGTGTGGGCAAAGTATAATTTTAATTTTAATTTTGTAATTATATTAAAATTTTAGGCGTGTTTATAAATTAGCTCTCACGTCGTATAATGATATAGATTACAAAGAAGTTGTCAGATAGAAATATATATAATTGAGGATGCACTGTATTAGAATGTGACCATATTAGATGTTGCGGTCAATATTGTTGTTTATTTTCTAGAACATATAAGTAAAATTATTGTATGAGTTTCTACTTTTTATTTTATAAAATCTTTTTTTAGATAACGTCTAAAATAATTGTACAAATTTAAAGTACAAAAATGAAATTTAAATATTATAAAGATTATCTAAGAAAGTAACAACAGAATGTAAGACGGAATTAAAACATGCCTAAAGATTATTTAATTCAATCAAGTTTTATTTGCAAATGTCTTAATGTGTCATATATTTATTCTCTTAAATAAATAAAAAAACATACACACAGTTATATAAGATAAGACTTCAAACATTAATTGCTGTGATTTATTTGAAGCTATTTATCTGCATCAATCCTAAGTACTTGTGTATATTTAAGATGTTATCAACAGTTTTTATGCAACTCTGTTTTTATCCACGAATAATTAAGTTATAATTCTCGACATTCAATACTTTTCTATGAACACACAAATCATTGTTTCAATCTCATAAAGAACATGTCCATGCTTTGGTTTGAGGAACATACAAAGTAAAATAACAATCATGGCTGAATCACTAAATATATATATATATATATATATATATTTTGGCGCTGCATTGGCAGACCCTATGCTATGGGCAAATATTATGCAAGGACTCGTCAATCCTGGTTGAGCTTTAATAAATGGGATCTGAATCGCCAACTTTTGCCGCTATTGGACATTCTTTGCGTGACCTTCCACCTTTGACAATTTAAGGTGATTCTGAACCATAAGTAATACAATATCATCAGCTCAGACATCAAGTTTCCACCAAATCAAAGCACCCTTTCCTAATAGTCGGAGCTACCTGTTCACATATTATTCCTACAGATTCAGCAACATTATCGCGCAAAGCAAGCTCAAATTCCATGGCAGTCGAGAGGATTTTCTCGACCGATGAAACGAACATCAATCAACGATGTGGAACTGATTCCATCGACGTTTCCATGGAGTAGATAACAAAAACAACAACAACAACGAGTGTTTTGCTAGAACAGAAGACAAGCAGAAGCAGGTTGATCACAAGCGTAGAAGAAGAGTTCTTCAATTTTCCATACAGATCTTCAAGTCGTGTTGGGACGCGACTGCGAGCTGCCAATCCGATGAGTGTGTTTCTGCCACCGGTGCGGGATCGTCACGGATGCCACGCTGCCTTGAGATCAGTTCCGGAATCCAATGGTGGAAAGTCTTGGAAAGGGGGAAGGCTATTCCAAGTTTGAAGTCTACGTATTGCGATGGGTGTGGGTAGTTAGTTCTCCAAGCCCAGAGATGAAAAGATTCGGTCCAGTGCGAGGCCGAGGTCGCGCGGCGGCCAGTAGTTTCCCCTACTACACAGCAAAATCCCCGGAGAACACCCCACCACACCACTCGCTCGCCGCGCCATCGAAGGCCATTCCCCGCACAACGATCCTCATACGCCCCGTCCTTTTCTCCTCCTGCAGATAATAATAACCTGCATGTGTGAATGGGATGCACGGTGGGTCCTGTACACCGGGGACGGTACCGGAGTGTCTGGTAGCATCGTGAAGGCTTCTGAAACTAAACAGGCTCCTGCACTCGAATCGTGACTGAATACCAGCTCTCGTAGAATCTTCGGTAGCCTTGTATGTGAACCTGTATAGGCGGTTACACATACGTGGGAGCTAGTGGTGGGAGATATTTGGGAGGGCGTAGGAGCAGTTGTTACGGTTTTGCACATGAATAGAAATGCGCCACAGAATAGCTTCTGTAGTGGAACCAATATTCTAGGAGGATTCCAGCTTCCAGGGATTGGGACTAGATTTGGTTTAAACTCAGGTAGGAGGCCATGATGGGCTCCAGCATTCCTCCTTCAGCCGAGTCGCTGTGGATCGTCACATGACAGCTCTTTTATCGCTCACCTGTCCTTTTGGCAAAGTCTAAGACGGCCCTAAACCACTTTGCTGCTTCTGGTTATCTTTCTAGCTGAATTCGTCTTCATGAGCTTTTGTCTCAGCCAAGGTGGGTTGTGTTGCTTAGAGGTCGCCCACGAACTTTGCCGTAGTTTTTCTTTATTTTTCTTCTCTTTGAACCCAGGAACTGCTTACACTATACAGCTTCTTGATCGAAGTACAAGGCGGACGTGTCATCTTGACGTTGCTGCTTCCATAATTCCACCCACCGCACAACGAGTAATGCATGTGTTTAATGCGGATTAGGATGACTTGAAGGCGCTGCGAGTCATGCACGCGCTCCTGTAATAATGCCGGATGCGACTTTGATCAGTTTCTTCAAACTTTGATCAATTGATATGCATTGGGAAGAAGATCTATTTCCTAAACAATCATTTTTTATTGCGTTGAGCAGGGAAGCCTGCCCGGGAGGGTTCTGTACCTTTGCGACGCTTCACCTTGCTTGCCACCTTAGTCGACTAATAGGTGCTGGCACTGTTCCGGGTGTTGTGATCGTGTTCACTTCGGGTTGCATGCACAATGGGGGAACTTTGTTAGAGTGTGTTCATCAAAGATATCCGGTATACGCGAACTCACAATTTCGACACCAACAAAGTACCATGTTCACGCTGTTGCCGCTGAGGTACGAGAGGGTTCAGAGCATTATACCTGGACTTCCCCAATTACGCAGCGATAGGGTCGCTATGTTGTAGAACTTCTTCTATACAATTGCACTCGCGGACCATCATATCTCTTCCCTAGTGTAGACAGTCCAGTGTGGCCATGGAGAATCTGATTAGTTTGCAAAGCGTAGGACACAGGAACATCGGGGAACCCTCGGCTCCGAGGCCCATTGGAGTTCACCAGGGATCTGTACTCGTGGTCTTGGATGTTAACAAGGGCGTCGCTCCAGCGGCTCTGTACTGGGCTCTTGCTAACGTCGTTCGGAAAGGAGACAAACTCAAATTACTGGGAATCATCACTCACGTTTCCAATGCCAGTAAGTTCTCTTTGACCTCCAAGTGTTGCGATTTGCGGGCTGTGAACTAGTGATTTCTCATTTCTTTATGTCTTCTATCTACCGGTCAAGCGTGCTTTTTGATGCGGTCAACCATAGCCGGATTCCATCCTCAGTTCTGCGGAGTACCCACGATCTCAGTGTTAAAGTCTGGTTGGTAGTAGACTGACGCTTCCTGAGCAGATGAGGAACTAATAGGCCAACCACCAGGGACCACTCGCGAATTTTGTAGGCGAACGAGGATGCCTTTCATACATTGTTAATGGCGTGTCTCAAAGTGCAGTGTGAATTTCCGTAAGCTGCTCGTGTGTGAGTCGCCTACCTTCATAATGTAGCAGTCTAGTATAAAAACCTAAAATTAAGCATTAATGTGTCTAGTCTTGAGAGAAAGCCCAATTCAAAGAGCTCAAGTACGAAATTAGTGATACAGATGCAATTTCACTTAGGGTGGCGTAGCGAGTATTTCAAGCTGCTTCAATTTATTCCTACGGGTTCTGCATGAGGGCCTGAAACGTCTACGCTTTGGACGTGGGGAATGTTGAAGTTCTCCAGCTCAGAGGACGCAGCAGCAGATAATAAATAAATAAATGAACAAACAAATAAGATCGTAACACAATCTTATGCTCTGACGTAAGGTGCGATAATACTCTTGTCTGTGCGAGAGTCAAAAATAGGTCGGTAGTTTTCAAGGTGTCGGCTCTGATGAAGTTGGGTGTTTAACTTAACCGCAATCTCGTTATGTATCAGTGGGATTCATGATACGGGTGGATCAGTCAACCTGGAATAGTCCCAATATCATGGAGCTCCAGTTTGAGATCGCCACGAAGAAGGAGGCCATCTGGAGAACGGCTCACATTAAAGATTGGTGTCAGAGAGCAGGGGTATGAAACTCACTCTTGTGACTTTACCTTCTCACTACAGAGCATCACAATTTCCCAGACTCCTACTTCATCGATCTTGTTATGCAAGATCTCTCAAATTTCAAGTCTTCAACGTGCAGGTGAAGCTAGAGGTGGACGTGAAGGCTGGAAACAATCCTAAAGTGATCGCCATCGACGAAGCAAAATCAATAGGCGCTTATCACGTGGTTCTGGACAAGTAAGCTGCAGACTGTTTCGTTCTAAAGCTTTCTTTTCATACCATGGAGGAAACATGTTTCGCGCAGTGTCTGACATTGTTTGTACGACCCTGCTTTAGGCACATGAAGAAAGACAAAAAATACTTCGTCGACAACCTGTCTTGTTTGGTTTCCCGGATTCGCAGCAGCGGAGGGGCAGAGACCATTCGCTCGTACGCAACGAGCAGTAAGCTTCCCCCCATGGCGCCCACCACACCTAAGGGATCATCACAAGCTGGACACCAATCCAAGGCATCGATGGGCTTGAATGGCTCTCACCGCGGCGGGTGGTCTATGTCGTCCACATCTTTCGAGCTTGGCGGAGATTCAAGCTGTGATGAATTCAGCTTCCAAGAGGTTACTGATCCTCTGTCCGCACCCAGTACTGACGAATCCATCGAGCGACCGTCTTGCCCGGATATCTCGCAGCTCTTGGCTCGCACATCTATGGAGTTGGGTGTACCCAAACAGCCTCCGAATCTGTATAACCTACTCCGCGGGCCATTTCATGATGGCGAAAATGGATTAAACAAGAACAACCCTTTACGCAAACCAGCTGTTCGGAAGTGGTTGAATGAAGATGACCGCATCAATGTGTCCGATCTTGAGCAGCAGGGACCCTTAACTCCTAGATCCGAGTTTCGGTTTGAGCAAAGGCCATCTACAGCTAGAGGTGCATTCCATGAATCCTTTACAGCAGCACCGATCTCTTGGAGTGTTGGTGTTTAATGGCTCATATTTCGCATCTTAGCATTTGAATTGACCTCACAGAGTCGTATGTGCAGGGCCACAAAGAGTTCACCACCAGCAAATAATGAGCAACAGTTGGATCGGGCAAATAAATGTAGCCCCTGAATTTGGCCAGAGCAAGATGGGCCGGCATACACTCACTGCTCAGCTGCGAACCCAAGCGTCCTTCAACAATGGTCGGAAACATTTCCGAGCAGAGAAGATCAGTATGGACATGCACTGGCCCCTCATGCATTGGGCAGATTGCCGAGCCATGAAATTGCGGTCACGGCATGGGACCGGTAGTGTTGTGTCCTCTTCCAACAGCTCCATGAGCAACTTGCGCACTGCAGTGCGACGCAGAGTCTCTGTGTCATCAGGTCTCAACTACAGTGACATGGTAGATTCTGACTAGCTGCTTTTTCCAGCACTTGTAGGTAAATATTTCTACCTTCTTCAATCAATCCTCGCGGTTTTTTCTTCACCTTCTTCTTCTTCTTCTTCTTCTTCTTCTTTTTCTCCTCTATCTTGATCTCTCTCGCTGATTAGATACTTTGGCGATGGTTTGAACCGATGGGAATATATGCTGACGGTGAGTGAAAAATGATGTTGTTTTGGCAGGAAAAAATGTTGTTTAAATGTTTTCTTTATATTTTTTCTGGGGACCCAGTAAGAGCAGTTTCCATCAGTTCCAAGGACGAGACGGTGAATCTAGCCTTGCAGCTCACAGTCAAAAATACCTCTCAACGGTTCGATCACAAATAACCATCTGGCTGCAGAACTGCTAGTCGCAGCTCCCTCCTGCTTTGAGTTCTCTGCATCATGGAATAGCACGTCATTTCATGGCCGGACAGGTCTTGGATTTGTTTCTAGATCTGGCGAGCTACAGTGCTGGAGTCTGTGTGGATCTCCGAAGGGCACTACCCGTCTTTCACATACTGAAAAAAAGAAAAGAAAAAGACACCTTCGGCTGGAGTTGGCGAAGCACACTACCTCCAAAATTGAAGCATTCATTTCAGGTAACTATTCATGAATAATGCGTTGATGAGTCACTTGGTAGATGCATCAAATACTGTCTAATGCTGCATGACTTGACGCCTGCTCACAACACGAGTTCTGTTATGTAAAGTGCATGAACAGGCCGCGCAGCATGAATTAGGGTTCAAGACTGGTCCTAGGCAATCGAGCTCAAAAAGCGACTACTATCTAGTGAGCTACTTAGCACTGATCTGTAGAATTCAGGGAGCTGGCTTAGATGAGAAGTAAATGAGATCATATCCGACAATTCCATCAAGTCATTAGCTGCAATGGCATTGAATACCATCTACTCGTTTTGCGCAGATTAATTTAGCTAAAAGATGCTTCGGACTTGAAGGATTTCCAGTCATGTTCGGAAATGCAGCTTGTGAAGTCTTACACCTATGTTGGAAGGATGGTGCGCAACAACACCTTGAACAATCAACAGGTCCTGGATGTGTTTTCAACACCTTCAGTTGTACAATTGATTAGCGATACGATCTTTTTAAGTAGTAGGCAGTCGAGCTGACATGCAGTGACATCAAGGTGATCGAAGAAACGGGTTATCCAGGCAGGATTAAATCTGCTGTCAAGGAGACTAAGGAATGAGATCCTAGATGCACTTTTTTGTCACTTACATTGATGTATTGGAAATATCATCACAAATCGGAGCAGTCCATGTTTAGATCCTAACACCTCATTGTAAAGAACAGAACAAAACACAAGATAGATTACTGAAAGTCACGGCTTTTAACTTGAGATTAGAATTTCCCAACCATGAGCAGGAAGATACACCATATGGCCGAGTTGTGAACTGTTACGGATTCACACAGACATTCATAACACGTTACGTGTTGTCAAGTTTTTTCAGCAATGCAGAATCTCCATGGCAGCAATGTACGTTGAAGCTACACACACTTTCTTGATAACTGAGTTGTAAGCAATGCTCCTCATTAAATCTCTATTCTGTAGTCAAGCCATCTCGTTCACAAGAACCAGCACAATCTTGTTTGACTTTTCACGCACCCACCAACACACCAGAATGCCCCGAAAGTGAGATTCTCGTTGATTGGGTGTGAACATTCCCAATTCCCAAAGCAACATCGCACAACAAAGAAAGGAAGAAATGACGTGGTTACACGCGTCAGCCGCAGGGCCGTTACAAACTCGGACAGGGAAGAGCAGTGGCGGCGCGTGGTTGGATCTGCACCTGCAGCCCCCTCGAAACCCACGAGTGCGGTTCAACGCTGCGCGACAACACTTTGGAGACATGCAGGGACCAAGTCAACCGGGGTGCTCACCGTCTCTAGACAAGACGAGATCTCCAAGGCGACAGGTCCCCACTCTCTCGATATGTGCAAGGCTACCGCGGATCCGTGAGGCTGGAGAGGTGTGTGCAGGGGAGCCCTCCCTGCAGTGGAGTGGGCGGGGCTTCCGAGGCTCGCAGCGCGTAGGAATTGACGCCGGGGTGTTGCGCGGCGAAGGCATAATGGGAGCAGCGAGGATCTAGGCCGAGCTCTGGTGCCGCCTCTCGCCTCGGAAGCCGTGGCTTCCGAGGCGAGAATCCTGCTTGACACGAGATGCACCCGACGACGATGGACTCATAATCCCTGCGTGATTACGCACAATCTTGCCCCCAGCCATGAATTTGTGTGGACAATCTTTAGATTCAACCACCACCAGCGCCATCATGATCTGTTATAACGGCAACAACTAGTGTCATATTGAGGTAAACTGATGCACTGGGTGTGGTGTTCTGAAAGGGTTGCAGTAAAATCATTGTTCCATAGGTTTATATCCCAGTTTTTCTTGCTGTTTTGTTCTTCGGTGCAAATAAGAAGTGCTACAGTCAATATATAGAGAGAAGGGGGTGATGTAAAAAAACAATCATGTCAAGATTATAAAGTTATGCTGGCGTTAGAGCACTACGAATGTGCAATTTGTGTGTAAATTAATTCGAGAATCGGTAAATATTTTAGAAAAATATCTTTGTGTAATTTTGGGAAAAAGTAGAGTTGGAACAGGAAGAAAATCCAGAAAGTGAAATGAAAATCCAAAATTGAAAAAAGAAAAGCAGTAGTGCTGGAGGCAGAACCAACCATAAATAGCAACCTCCTCATGAAGAAGAGGGTGCTTAGTATTGTTGGGGCTAACTATACAACAAGTATTCAGATCATTATAAAACATATCGATTTGTAGATTGAAGTTCTTAGTTTTCCACAAAAAGGCCTCAAAGAAGTAAACATTCACTTGGGATTCAAAAACATGACGTCAATTCAAAATCCAAAGCTGGCTCTTCTAATGGTCAAAATTTGCTTGCTTGGTCTTCTTATGCTGGGAAAAGAGACCACTGAGTCTCCCCATGTCCCTCTTGTTCTTGTTGCTGGGGTGCACACTGGGAGGGTGAAACAACTTCAAATTCAGCCCATTCTAGGTTTAACATTTCATAACATTCCAATAAAGGTGTCAACTCCCAACTAATTGTGAGCCTGTTTTTCTTGAAGATGGCCACCTTAGATGGCATGGGCTACAAAGCAAAATTTGACACGTGTACGATCCACGTGGACGTGGCTTCTAACTGTGGAGCTCGATCCCGAGTTCCATCTTGAGTATCATCCTGAGTTTCCCAAGGTCAAACAAACTCAGCACGAACTTCGAAGCATCTGATAAAGGATAAGGAAATGAAGCTCCGACTTGATTTCGTTTGCAGGAGCTTGTCGTTGAAGACTCTCCTGCCTCCACGTGGCAGACACTTTGCAATAATAGGGAGCCTTAAAAGATGTGTTTTTTTCTGGGTGAGAACTGGTTCCTATACAAAATGGAAGGTTCCTATGCTTTCATTCGTCATGGAACCACGAATTTCTTTAATACTGTCATAACACTGTAGTTGGAGAAGCCTTACAACCCATCCAGTGTAAGCTCTCCTAAAAGTATTATGGGACTTGATATTGTTGCATCATTTTTTTGTTATATATATATATATATATATGTGTGTGTGTGTATTAATCTAGATGTTTTATTTATTTCTATTATTATATTGGTTTAAGTAATAGTTATAGTTTTTGGTGATTGGTGGTTATATATTGCAATTATATTGCAACTAAGCACATGATGGGTTTGAGAATGAGTTAATAAATCTTGATGTCAAATACTATTTCTTTTAAAATATGAATATTATAATCAAATATTTTGGAGAAAATATATATATATATATATATATATATATATATATTCTTAGAATTGAAGTCAATCTAAAATTTTAGAAATTTAATACTATTGCATCTTGTTAACTAATTTGATTGACTAGGCATTAGATTTGGACCAATAGGATTTAGATAGTAGAAGAATCCAAACTAGTAGGCTCTAGAAAATATACAATTTAGATCTTGGTAAGAACTCATGATAGATTAGATGTATCTAATCCAATTAAAAAAATAAATCTTTAAGTAGAATAAATTAAATCAAAATAATAAAGTAGTTGCCTAAATAAAATAGCTAAATATAATGATTAATTTGAAGTAGTATAAATATACAACAAACTTGGAAGAAATCTATTCTTTATTTATTTTTTTGATAATTGTCAAACTTTTTAAAAACTTATATTTTATTAAAATTAATAATTTTCTAATTTTTTTTAATATTATCATATTTTTAAAATTTTATATATTTAATAAAAGGAGTTTTTTTTTATTATTTATTATTTTTTAAAAAACATTAGGCTTATAATTGTGGTTGATACATAATCTTTTCACAATAAAATAAAATAGAAAATATAATTTTTATTTAATAGAAAATATATATTTTAATTATTTAAAATCAATATTAAATTTCAGTTCAACTTATTTAAAAAAATTATAATTGATAAATTCAAATTTAATTATTTAAAAAAAAATTATCTACTGACTTTGAACTACTACATTTTGTGAAGGACTTAAATTTCAAAGAACTAAAAGTTTAATAAATTCTTTTGTCATTTAAAAAGATTAAAAAATTATTTAAAGATGGTACAATATTAAACTACAATGACTATTGCCAAAGACAAGAAAACTAGAAAGTCTTGGAATAGGATTAAAGATTAGAAAGGCATTGAAAATAGTAAAAAAGTCTTTATTCTTGCATCCATATATACTATCTAACAAAGAGCTATGTGACAATGTCCTATAGGACCTCCAACAAGTGTTTAATTTGCAAGATACATGTTTTAACTTATAAGACAAGTTTTTTTATATAAACACCACATTGTTAGTTTATACTACAAGCTAATAAGATGTGTGCAATTTGCAAGACATGTGTCTTAACTTGTAAGGCAAGATTCTTATTTGCAAGCTCTTGTGTTGTAGTTCTACTATCATATGAAAATAATATATATATATATATATATATATATATATATATATATATATATATATATGTAATATAATATAATTTATTGTACAATAAAGTAAGAGCCATGTTATTAGATTTTAGTTGATTATAGAAAGTTATTAGATTATTATTTTGAAGTAATTAGTCTAAAAGAGCTTCCATTGATATTGATTTTTATATTGATAATAGTTTTTATATATTTAGAGTCATCTTTATTAGACATTGGTGACTCTTAAAATTTTATTTTATTTTTTTATTTGATGTTTAGGACACATATTATGTAAAATTTATTAGAAAAAAGATTAGAAAAGTATTTTGATATCAAAAAGGATAGTTAGGCCATTTATATGAATGAATGGAGATGGATGATGAAAATCTCCATTCCTATTTGTCAAAAGTAATACCTAATGGACTTTAGGGAAGTTGCTTAAGGCCTTATTAGGAATTAGGATAATGTTTTTAAAAACATTTAAACATTAAAGGCTAGAATCAATAATTTTAGGTTTGGAGATGGTTTTGGTATAAATTTTTTGTGATTTCGAGTTTTTGTGAAAGTTATATAGGCACTCAAAATTAAGCTATCAATTTTGTACCTACTATCATTCTTTAGAACATAACACATGCATACAAAAAGCAATGAAAGATTGACAATTAGAATTGGAGAGAGAATTTTTTTGGCTATACTTTACATATATTGCTTAATGAATTCTAAATTAGAATAAAGTAGATATTAAAAGTTGAAGTCAACAATTGGAATCTAAAGGCAATAAATGACTCGATTTGCTAGTGGTTGTATTTAGAGCTATATCTCAAGTAATTTGATAAGATTTTGGCTCAAATTTTTTTAAAATATGTATTATCATGATATTAAGCTTTGTAAAATTTTTTGTAACATTTGAATTTTTAATTTTTGAGATATAAAGAAAATAATATTCAGGTGCTTGTAAATTGGAGTTTAAAGCATCTGGTAGGATTTTTAAGATGCTAGAGGATTGGTAGTAAATTTGTGATTCATTCTTTTTGTGATAAAGTTTAAAGGTGAAAACTATAATATCTAAAAAAATTAAAAAATTAAACAATTAAATCATCTAGATATGAAATTTTAAAATTTTAAAAATAAATAAGTTTTTTTGTAGAAAAAAATATTTGAAGGATTTTTTTCTATATTTTTAGCATTTTATATAAAATAAAGGGGTTTTTAAAAGCTAAGACTTTGTATATATAATAAAGATGGATATATAGTATTGAAATAAAAATAAAAGTAGAATAAGTTATCTTATAGAAGATATTACCTGAGGTAAGTTACTAATGATCAAACAGTTGATTCTTAGTGTTTAGAAAGGGAATCCTATGGATATAGGTTGAGGTCAAGGACTAAGAGTCGAAGTCAAGAGGATAAAGTATTAACTAGGAAATATACAAAGACTAGGTAAGAGTAATTAGTGCATAGCATAGGATATTCTCGAGGTTAGTAAGTTGCCAAAAGAATCCTAGGACTATGTGTATAAAAGTCAAAGAGTGGAAGTTTTCTTTTTGGATAGCAACCACTACCTATAAGTATTGG